GCGAGGAGCCAAAGCCGTGGGCGATGTACGCTGGTGAAGGTGAGCGAGACCCCGGGAGCGGTCCGCGGTGTCCGGGGGCAACGCCCAGTCCGTTGGAAGACCCAGGGACAATGCCCAAATTTGGGGGAAACTGGGGGCGATGCCCAGTCGTTTTCCTGGACGCGGGAGAAGCACGGCTTACGTCCTGGGGACGCGCGGCCGGCCCGAGTGTGTTTGAGAACACAGGGAGAAATTTCCAAAATCCAAGTTGCTCCGGGGGCTTCGTAGGAGACGCGCGGAGAGGCCCCCAAACCCGTGCCCGCTGCGCTCGGCGGCGGGGGAACTGCCCTGGGCGGCCGGCGGGCGGGAAACAAGACCCAGATTTCGGGGACGCAAGTCAGAGCTGTCTGGTTTGTGGGCCTCGAGAATGAGTATCGCAAAGTAGGGGCGCTCAGGGGAGACGCCGTTCATGTGGGAACTGCGATTAATGACTGGACTTGAGACTCCCGAAGAAGCGTCCAGATTTGGGGGTGAGGGTAACCGTTCCATGCCATTGGGGACTTTGGAATCCGGGTCTAAAATGGTAGTGGTTGGAGGCGGGGGGAATCCAGCGTCTTGGTCAGCAAGGTTAGGGGACCCGCGAAATCCCACACCGATTTGTGGGGGGATAAGCTTTTTTTATTAAATCAAAGAAAATTTTCAGCAGGAAATTTGTGGGGACCTAAGAGGGACATTGCCTAAAATTGGGGGATGAAAAAAACAACAGACACTCCAGGGACCCAGACAAATTTTCCTTGTTCAGGAGACGTAGGGACAAATTTCCACATTTTAAGAATGCAAGTTAGTGGCCTGGACACTTAAAGCACCCGGGAAAAGCAAACTTCTTATTTACTGTGGCTTCCGGGAAAATTCTTCATGTAGACTAAAGGAGCACTGACTAAATTTGGGGGAACCTGGAGAGTGATCAGTACGTTTGGGAAATGCAGAAGATTAATGTCCCTTTATATTTTAATTTTTAAATTGACTTCAGTTAGTTTATTTTTGGTGAGCAAGGAAAAAAAAATCCTGTATGTTTTCCTGGACAATGTCTGCATTTGGGGAACCCCTGGAAAATACAGTCCAAGTTTTAGGGATCCAAAGAAACTACCCAATGGTGATTGATATCTAAATTTCAGGGAGCCTGGATAGTAGCTAGGAAACTTGTAAGACAGCGGCCTTTAATGCCTGGGATTTCTAGGACACAGGAATATTTTTCACTGTGCTTTGGGGGTTCATGGAATGTTATGTAAATTTAGGGGTATTCAGGACATGGGGTCTTAAAGTCAGGAGACTCATAAGTCCATGTTCCAAAAAAAAAAATTTGTTTTGTGGAGGGAAAAATATTTTTTCAATTTGTTTTGGAAGGCGGGAAGGCAGTACCTCAATTTGGGGACCCTAGGAAAATAATTTTTTAATGTAAGGACCCAGGGAAGTTGCTCAGAGTCCTTGGAGGATGTGAGGGTCAATATCTAAGTTTTAGGGAAAAGGGATTCAGAGTTTCTTGGTCATAGGGCTTGGAGAACCAATGTCCAAATTTTGTGATCTACAGGCAGTGTGCAGTGTGTTTGCAGAAAACATTGCTCAGATTTGGGGTGACTCTGTGGGTGCATGGGTTGCTTTGGGGCCCAAGAAATCAGTGCCTTTCTTTGACCCAAGGGTAATACTGCATGTGTTTGCGGGGCTTGTAGGGCATGGCCTGATATTTGAGGGAGCCTCGCATGTCCTAATATGAAGGATCAGGAAAAAGGTCCACTGTGGTCCTGGAATTCGGATTTGGGATAGGTGTCTGAATTTTAGAAAACCTGGATTCTTGTCAGTAAGCTAGTAGGGCCCAGGGAATCGTAGTATTCAGAATGTTGTGATGCAGAGAAAATGCTCAGAATGTTTGAGGATTGGGGGCACTCAACGAAGCCTGGTATATGAGAAATAGGTTCTGCCAAGGGTTCGTTTTGTGTGTGGTGTGACCCAAAGGGACCTGGGAAGTCATGTGTGATTTGGGGAGAGCCTAGAAAATTCTCAGTCACACTTGAGCACACCTTGGGTAATTGCTCAGAGTGCTTGAGGGGCTGGGTAACAGTGTCTAAATTTTAAGTCTGATTAGTGGCCAGGAAGCTTGAAGAGCCCCCGGAAATTTGTGGCCCACACACACACACAATTGCTCAATGAGTTTTGGGGATAATTGGAGAAATCATTCTCTCAATTTTATGGAACTCAGGAAATCAGAACGCAGATTGCTTGCGATTCAGAAAAGGGCTCTATGTGCTTTGGTTGGAATGCCTAAATTTGGGAAAAGCATAGAAAACAACGTACAGACTTTGAGAGTTCCAGGAAGACTGCTCAGTGTGCTGTGGAGAGCTGGCATTCAACGAGGAGTAAAATTTAAGAAACCCTGATCGATGCCAACAGATCTGTGGAACTCCGTGGAGGGTGTCCCCAACTGTGGTGACCCAGGCGAATGGGGGAGTCAGAACAGGGACAGTAAGCGTAGGAGACCCTGGAGTTAACATCTACAATTATGGGGACACAGGGAAAAAGCTGACTCGTTTTGAGAACAATGCGTAAATGCCAGAAAAACTCCGCACATTCTGGGGAGCCAGAGAAACTGGTCGGCACGACCGCAGGACCGGGGGCTTATTGTTTAAATTTCAGGAAACCCGGGTTGGTTGTCTGTAAATCGGTAGGACCCGGGGGTGGGGTGGGGGGGGGCACCTAAAACGGTTAAGAGCCCGGGGAAAAAACAAATTTGGGAACCCGCGTCACGTAGTGAAAATCTGGGGAAGCCAGCAGGGGCTTGAGGGGTTTTGAAGTCCCCTGAAATTCATGTCCAAGCACATTTGCGACCTGTAGACCGGCCGAACGTGTCTGGAGGAGCAGGGGAGCAATGCTTAAATTCGGGGGATCTCAGAAACAGGGACGCCCGCGTTTGGGGAGGCCGGTTAAGTGTTCGGAGGGGTGGCCCCGGGGATCGAGGGCTGCGTTGGAGAGGCCGGGCGGGAAGGAGCGCGCCACGGGGACCT